CTGACAGTACATCCAAGGCATTTTTAGTTATAATATACACTGGAAGTATTTTTTAAAAATTTTTATTGAGAAATAATTTAAACTTCCAAGAAAGTTGCAAATACAAAACCCCCCCTATGTATGCTTTACCTAGATTCACCTGTTGTTCATGTATTAACATTTTGCCTTATTTGCTTCATCAGTCTCTCCATAAAAAACGTAGATATTTGAGAGCAAGTTGCATAGCTAATAGCCCTTTACCCCTAAATATTTTAATGCTTATTTCCTAAAATTAAGGACAGTCTCTTACGTTACAGAGGACAGTTTGCGACTTCAGCCCATTTGACAGATGCATCAGCTACTTTACCCTAGCACCTGTCCAGTAATATCCTTATGGCATTTCCCTTCCAGTAAAGCTTCTAGCCTAGGATCAGACGTGGCAGATAGCTTTCCTGACCCACCTTTATCTTTTATGTCCTCCATATTTTTGGTGAGTATAGTTCCCTTACCTCAGTTTTAGAATTTGGTGTCTTTTCATAATTAGAATTAGTTTATGCATTCTTGGCCAGAATCCTACGTAAGTGGTGGTGTGTCCTTTTTAAGGAATCGCCTCTGGGGTCACTTTGATGATGGTAAATTTTGATCACCTGTTCAGTGTCTAATTTCTCCAGTATTTTCCCCCCTTGGAATGAATAAGCAATGTGTACAGACACTTTCAGATCATGCAAATACCTTACTCATCAAAATTTCCCCTTAGACTAGTAGCTACTGATGTTTCTTATCTGAATTGATCTTTTACTATGATGGCTACAGGAAGATTTTTCAATTCTAGCACTCCCTCCACCTGTACCAGTTGCACTTGGTCACCTATATGCAAAAGCTTTTCCTTTCATATTCATTCATTCAATTCATTTTCATTGTGGAATTGTGGATTACTTTTTGAATGGTTCTGACTCATTATTTGGGTACTCATGTGGCCTCAGCTTTGGCCAGAGAGCACCCCTTCAGGGTAGCTCCTATCATTTTTTTAAAAATGTCTAAAAAATGTCTATTGATTTCAGAGAGAGGAAAGAGAGGGAGATAGAAACATCAATGATGAGAGTCACTGGTCAACTGCTTCCTGCATGCCCCCTACTGGGGATTGAGCCCACAACCTGGGTATGTGCCCTGATCAGGAATAGAACCATGATTTCCTAAATCATAGATCGATGCTCAACTGCTGAGCCATGCTGGCTGGGCTCCTACCACTTTTTGGAACACTTTGTTTTCTGGCCTACAGGATGTCTCAGGCTCATCTAGTGCTCACCCTGCCCCAGCCTTGGAATCAGCCATGGCTCTTTTAGTGGTATTAGAAACCAAGATTTGGTTTATCCATGATATATGTGATGTACTATGACTATTTCCTTTTTCATTAAAATTTTATTTTGGTCATAGACCTAATGGGTTTCAAAACCCAAAGTTTAGAAAACATGGTTCTAGGGTAATTCACTCCCTTGTCACTGGCATCTTCTGAAAGCCCAGGCCAAGCAGCAGATGGACCCTCTGCATACAAGCACAGTTCTAAGACTCCTCTGGAAGGTAATGCAGGCCTGGGACAGTGGGAGGCTGCTTCCCCTGGTTAGAGCTGGGATTAGCACTTGGCAATTAAAGGCTGTGAAGCTATGTTTAGGGCAGCAGCCATTTTCCAAACAGGCCCAAAGGCCTGGCCTTCAATTTGAAATGTCTCTGCCTACATTTATCCCTTCTCCATCGTGGTGGTGGTGGGGAATCCACATGCTACATCTGTCTCTCCATAGGTTTTGCTGGTGGTGGCTGCAGAGAACTGTGATTGTGACCTTTGCCACAGACTCAGAGATACTCAGGGCTTCTAAGGGAAAAGAGTAGATGTTCAAAGAATACCAGCGTGCACTGAACCCTGGGACCACACACATCCCTCCAAAACCTGATAGGAACATTTGTTAATAGGGGCAGGGATTTTTGGATATAACATCCATTTTGGTCTAAATATACCTTGGAAGTTTGGAGCTTCTACAGATGCTGGTTCTATTTTTTCCTAATAGAAATTTATCTTTCCTCTTATTCAGCTAAATGCTCCTTGCAATTACACATATTTTTTTTATGGAACCATGCAAGCTTTTAAATTCTCCCACTGAGGACATACTGTGGCCCTGCAGAGTTGGGTCCATTCTCAGTTGCATAAAATGTCTTGTGTGTAGTAAAATATCTTATGGAACAGGACATAAAATAGCGAAGGTTAGTTTACTCCCCCTTCCCCATTTTATCTTTGTTTTTATATACTGTATATTTTAAGAGTTATAAAGTAGAGGGCTGAAATGTCACATTTCTAAGTAAGTCAAATTTTTCTAGAATGTAAATAAAGATTGGAAGATAGAGATCCTTATAAGCTGAAGAGGAATAGAATTGCCATTATGGTAACATCAAATTTTTAAAAATTATTGAATTCCTACCAAATCCTAGACAATGTGTTTCTCCATTTATTTTTATAACACTTTCTGAGCACCTATTGGACTCTAGAAATATGGGATTTTGCCTTGTATAAGTTCCCCTCAACTATCTTCCCTTATCCAGTGGTTTCCAAATGCTGGTAGGCCCAACATTTCCAACTAAATTTAGTTCTGTCATAACTAGTCATTTGGGGAATAATTATGCATTTAGTGCATTTCAGATAATGAGCAATTTTCTGAACACCTGTTTCTACCGTTTGTTCTATTTTAATAGTAATGCTAAAATAATTTTAATGGGAATGGGAATTTTAGGAATTGTATATGTAGCCTGAAAGGCTAGAGTGGAGCAGGAATGACAATGCCTACTCTAAGTTTGGGAAGCTGAAGCCCATAGAGGGAAGAGTCCATCTGTCATGGAGCTGGACCAGGTGTAAGCTCCCTGACTCCACCAGTTTCAGCTCCCCGACTCCACCAGTTTCAGCTCCCCAGTTTCATCCTAAAAGGAGCTGCCTATTTAAGGGGCAGGATCTTTTAGAACTGCCCACAAGATTTGGAAAACAAGCTTTCAACAATGCAGGTTTCAGAATGGTGGTATAAGGAAGGAAAATAATGTTAAAGTTCCAAGAGCAAGACTTCCTAAGAAAAATTTCTTCCATATTTTATTCAGTTCACTAATTCAGAAGAAAGTGTGCCTTGCACTAGATTAAAGAAAGAATTTAAAATTTAAAAATAAGTTGGGTCGTGGTAGGTTCTCAACTGCGCAAGGCACTAATATCCAGTTTAGTTATATTTGGACCAATCTTAGGACAAGATGAGACTGGGCAGGCTCCTCCTACTACGAGCAACTCCTGCATGCCTTGGTTACAACAAAGGCCCTTTCAGAACCTCAGTCTCCAAGTCCAGTGGGTGGCTTTGTCTTGCCTCCCTCAGCCTGGAGGTCCTGTTTTTCAGAAAGCAAAGAGCAGTGAAGGAGACTAGAATTGAACAGGTTGCGAAGGGAAATCTGTGAGCCTCAGAATACTTCTTATCAAATTGGAACAGGGCATTTCCAGCACAGGCCTGAGGTTAGAAATTCTAGGGCTGGTTGGGACCTTTGAGGCTAACTACAGCTGTCCTAGCCCTCTTAGTAAGCACTGGTTGGGGTGCAAACCCTGAGGGAAAGGTTAGGTTGGGTCAGAAACCCTACTGGCCACCCTTCTTTGCTCTAGGTCACCTTATGAAGGCTAAAACCCTACTTTTCATTCTAGATTATCGCTTGACAGATAGTTGTAACTACAAAGTGTTAAATCTCACATCTGTGGAAATTTTTGTAGTTTACTCTGATGGGTAAGACTGCCCAGAAAGCTCTTTGGAAAAAGTCACGTGTCTGTCCTTCCTGATGTTACCCACTAAAAGATCTGCTACTAAGGGCAGGGAAGCACGGTCCAGCCCTATCCCAGAAAAAGACACAAGAACAACCCCTGAATCCCTGAGCTGTGCTTATACAGTGCTGTAGTGATCAGTAAGCTGAATGTATTTGCTTCACTTAGAGCCTTTAAAAATGACCTTGAGGAATGCTTTGTTGAACTTAAGCTACTGCTTAAAAAGGGGGGAGGGGGAAATGGGCTATTAAAAGTTTATTTCTAAGAAATGTAGAACACTGCAGTTTTGAATATTAAATCTATTGCAACTATTAATCCCTCTGTCTTCATCCATTCAGAAAAATAAGTCCAAAGGAGAATTTCTTGGGGACAACTAAGATTTCCTTAGGTGATCAGGTAAGGAGGAAAGTCTTCCTGTGCCCTCTCTCAAAAGAGGAAGCCACTGTAGCAGTTTTTGTAAAATGTTACTGCTACTCTGGCTTTTTAAAAGTGACCAGACTTTTGTTTAGGACTTTGATGTTTACTCTGCGTGTAGGGTACAAAACCCCAGTAAGTGAATTAGACCTAGTTTCTTAAATAAAATGTTACATAAATTTTAGGGTTTTCCCCCCTCCAGTTATCAGTCTTTTTGTGTTAGGTGCATGGACCAAACCCAAGATACAGCTTTTCCTGCTTCCCACCACACAGTCCAGAACATAACTTCCTTTCTCCACTGAGAGCTTGGGGAGCAGGGAGGCTAGTGCAGCAGCTGTCAGGAAACAAGGCACAGGCAGAGAGGGGGTAAACCAAGTTGTACAGCACAGGTTGCCACTGACATATGAGTCACGGAACCTGCCCCACCCTAAGCAGGCGGGTTTCCGATCACTCTCAAGTTCTCCCATCCTTTACAGTTGCATCTTTTAAAGGCACATTCAGAAATGTTGCAACTAGTGGCTGGGGTAAGCTGCAGTTTCTACATGGGTGAAGGGGCTGCAAGACTCCATGGCACAGAGCAATGAGGCTATCCTTGCTTTTGCCCAGAGGGAAGCGGAGGCCGCCTACTGGAATCCAGCCTGCTTTGGTGTGGAGGCCTGGGAAAGGGCCAGCAACAGGAGACCAGGGCCGTGGTCGGTAATGCACGTATTTAACAGGTCTTTGGTGTTTTTGTAGCAGCATCTGTCTCCCTTAAATACAAAGGCTTCTGTAGGCAGCCAAGCTGGGAAAGTATGCTTGTGCACATGCCGCTGGCCTGACTCCTCTCCCAACGTTGACTGAAGCACAGGTACAAAGCGTAGAAAGTAGGAAGTAAGTCTAAACTGCAGTAAATATACAAATAGAGTTTAGAAAGGATTTCCTGAAAACAAGTAGACCTGGGAAGGTTTAACATCCCTCCCAGGCTCTCCTGAGGATCCTAAGAAACTCAGCCCAAGCCCTGCCCAACAGTTTTGCCTCTTGATCATCCTCACAGCTGAGACATTCTTAGGCTTTCTCCCCAGATATGAGTTGAGTACTAGAAGTGTCCCTGTGGGTCCTGGGCAGAGGTTCTGAGGGCCCAGAGAGCTGCCCACCTCATAGGCCCCTAGGCTCCAGGACCAGCCAGTTCTCGGTGACCATCTGTATGTCCTGGCCACTCAAAGGCTCCCGCAGCCTCACCTTCACCTCCAGCTTGCCCCCAGTGGGCTTCCTTCCATCCAGGACCTGTGAGTGAGAACCGCAGAGAGGGAGATGGTAACTGATGGAGGTAGCTCCCTATGCTCACAGGTAAGGAATGAGGAGCTAAAACATCCTGCAGTATCAACATAGGAGTCTCTACAACCCTGGTGGTGGTAGTGGCAGTTTGAGATCTTACAAGAAACTTAAAAGAGTTCCTCTCACTCAGTTTCCCCATGACAACTCCTGGAAGAAATGCTCTGGCTTAAAGGTGCAACCTGAAGACCACTAAGCTCAGACCCTCACTTCATAGATGGCCCAGAGAGTGGATGTTATATTACACAGCCAGTGTGGCAAGTCCATGACTAGAACCCAGGCCAGGGGTTTCTTTCTACCCACATGTTCTTCCCTCCTGGGCAGAGGGGGGACAGCTAGAGTGCAAAGTAGTGAGTGCTGTGAGCTTGAGAAGTCTAACCATCAACAGGCCACACTTAATAACTCCCCAAGAAAGGGAGGGAGGTAGATGCACCATAGTGGGAAAAGCCCCACTTAACGAAGGCATTAGCAAGGGTCTGGGCCACACTCTGCCGAGAACATACCCTTCTCCTCTTTGGACCTTAGTTTCCTTACTTGTTAAAAAGCTTTTAAAGTCACTGCCTACGAAATCTGATGAGTTCATGGAAGCTTAAGGAGCTGTTTAGGGCCAATTCCTTAACACAAACTAGCTTCATTGTGGTAGGTCTCTGATTTTATAATATCTTTTTAACTTTATGTCCAGAGCTTGTTCCATTTCATCAAACTGCCAGAAAATTGCCCCAACCATAACTCTGTTCCGCCCCCAAACCTAGGGGTTTATGTGTGCCAAGTTGATAGCAATGATCCGACCCCTCAAGGGCCTTATAACCACCATCCCTGGAAACTTGAGTGGCCCAGAGTATTGTGAAAAGAATATACCTACTTTCCAAATGGGTGATACTAAAAAAATTTGTCAGATCCTCTGAATCTCTTCATTTGCAAAATGGAAATAGCACCTACTGTACAGCATACTTACAGATATTTTTAATGAGCACAAAATCCTATAATAGGAACCGATGTTCAATGAATATTGGCTTTTCACTGGCCAAGTCCTCTGGTTTGCCCACCCTACCTCCACAATCTCTGGGTCCTACCTCCAAAATCTCTCTGATCTCACACTCATTCTCCAGCCGTTCCAGTTTCAGGTGGGCTGTGCCGACCAGCTTGTCACTTCTGAAGAAGGATCTGGGGAGCCAAGGGTCAATAAGAGGATTGGACTGGGCAGGGACAGTGGGGATGAATTGGCTGAGCCCAGCACAAGAAAACTATAGCAAGGGCAGCAGCAACAGAAGCCTTTCCTTCCTCCCAGCCTACCTTGGCAGTGTGACTGACAGGGGACTCACCCTTTGTGGAAGATTTCAAACTTGATTCCTTTGCTTTGGATCACCCTCCTGAAGCCCCGGTGGTTTCGGTTGATGTTTAGTTTGAAGAGTTGATCAAATTCTGCAAGAGTGTGAGAAGGGGCTTGGCTCCCAAGAATTTCCTGAGGAGGTGGTAACAGGCCTAGGGGCTCGCCTCCTCTCTGGATCATTCTGCCTGCAATTGAGAGAGACTACCACCAAAGGTGGTAGAGCCTGTAGGTCCTGGCCTTGGAAGTCCACTTGGACAGTTCTTGTATACTTGTCAGATTTACTGAAGTAGGAGGGATGTGGAGTTTGAGTCAGGATTCCTGGATTCAAGTTCCATTTCCACCACCCTTTTGTTTGGAGGCCATAGGCAAGTCCCTTTAACCTCTCCGAGCCTCAGTTTCCCCAGCTACGAGAGGAGTGGTAATAATACCTGCCTTTATCTCCCAAGTTGAGTACCAAGTAAGATAACAGGTCTGGAAACACAAGTGCTGCGCACACAATCAGAGAATGAGGGAAGAGAAAATAGCCCTTACCTGGAGAGTTTGTGTTCTTCACCACAGCTGTTTTGCTTTTTTGAGCCTGGTCCTAAAGCAGTAAGAAGGGAGAAGTCGGGACAGCTTGAAAAAACAAGTCCATAGGACCCAGAACTCTGGGCTCAGTCGGTGTTGAGGGAAGGGACACTTACACCAATCGGCTAAGGATCTTCAAACCCCTCCCTATAGCCAGACCTCCCAGGGAAAGGGGAGAAATTGAGCACAGGGTCCTGGAACAGAAGATGGGGTTCAGAGGATCCTACCTCTACCTGAACCTCACCGAGTTAGGGTAGTGGAACTCAAACCGCACAAAAGCATCCAAGTCATCAGGGGTCACCCCTATAAAGGAGAAATGGGGGTCAGAGGGTGTAGTCAGGGGCCCAGCACCTGAGGTGGAGTGGAACCAGTCTTTCTCCGCTGGCTGGGGGTAGTGTGTCTAGGCAAGAGCGTCCTGGAGTAGGGGTGGTCCTAGGGCTACCTGGAGGGGCTGGAAGGTTCATTCCCCGGACAATGATCAGATGCATTTCTGTGCTGTTGAGTTCTGAGAAGATCCTATAGCCAGGAAGCAAGGAGAAAGCCCAAAGTGAAGGCGTGCAGTGGGAAAGGGCCTCTCTTCTGGGGACTGCCTGCCTGCCAGGTGGTGCTCAGGAATAGAGTGGGCACAGGGAGGCAGAGCTTGTCTGGGCTAGGAGCAGCGGGTACAAAGAGCTTGGCCCAGTGCCTAAGGCAGCACCAAGCCTGGGAATTCTTACTAAAGGGGCCTAAGTCCCCAGCGTTGGCTCCCAGCCTCTTGGCTCATCCCTGCATGGAGCCATTCGGGCTTTGGTACCTCACAGTCTGGAATGTCTTCAACTTAAAGTGGTGGCTAGGAGGGTCAAGGCCCTGGGCCTGGGCCAGCTGCAGGATCTCAAGCTGCTTCTTGCGGTCCTGAGCAAGCTTCTCAAACCTGATGGACAGGTGCATATATGAGCACGACAGCTCATTTTCTGCTCCCTACCCCACGTGCCCCAGCCCTGCATTTACCGAGTAGTCTCGGCCACATTGCCCTGGTGCATGAACTGCTTGGAGAACAGCAGACACTTCTGAAAACAGAGGCACAGAGTGGGTCTAGGTTGGCTTTGGAGGCCTGACTTCTGAAAGCTCCAACCTTCTCCTATAGTCTTCCCCTCTCCTTCCCCAACACATACCCCGCCCTCCACAAGATCAGTTTCCAAGTCTCGTAAGTTTTTGCTTTTTTCTTTCCTGATAGCCATTCCCCAAAATTCACTTAGCAAACTCCTATTCTTCCTTCAAACCTTAATAGAAACATCACTTGAGAAAGCAGACTTGCTGGCAGTTCAGATTGATACATGCAAATGTACATATATGTATACATTCTTCTATATACATATATGTATCTGTGTCTCCTAACATTTCCTCTGATCTTCGAAGTACTTTCCCCTCCAGTCTGTTGTTTGAACTTCATAACCACCCTGGGATATTAATCATCCCATTTTACAGATGAAAATGTGGTTCAGAGAGGGGAAGTGTCTTGCACAAGGTCCAACAGCCAGTAAGTGGAAGAGCTAGAATTTGAAACCAGGCCTATCTGGTCTGAACCCCATGCCTTTCCCCACAGGGAGGCTGTGGGCACTGAAGGGAGGAGAGACAAGCAGTCAACTGACCTCATGTTGCTCCAGAAGCATTTTCTGTAGCTGGGAGTACACCTCCTCTGCCTTCTGGGAGAGGCGCAGGTCTTCATGGTGAATGAGGATGAAGTCACCCTCTTCATCCATCAAAGGTGAAGGCACCTGCCAAGGTCACAAGGCCCCTCAGGGACCCCAAGAGTCAGATTATCCCCTTACTAAGCCTAACAAATGCAGGAATCCAAACTGAGTGTTTCTCCAACTTCTGACCACCAGTGATGGGAACTCATTGCCTCCCGTTCTACCCCAGGCTGCCGCAACACTCTGCCTCCCACAGGCCTTGCCCAGCCTTGTCATCTGACCACAGGCAGCCCACCTGGCTTTCCCAGTCTCTCTTGGGGCCATGGGGTAGAGAGAGGCATAAACAAAAGGCTCCTTTCAAGCAGTCACCACATCCTATCCAAGTCCTACCTCTCAGGTTGGCCTGAGGACATCTCAGGGAAGGTATGACTGATGGCAATGGACAGTGGCATCCAAGCAGCTGCCTTGTTCACAGCCCTGCTGTGAAGCCTGCCACCCGCCTCTTCTGCCTGAGAAGTCCTCCTCCCCAGCCACAAGGCCTCACCTTAGAGAAGTCCACAGGTTGGCCGGCTCGGACCTGGAGGATCTGAGCCTCGAGGCATTTGGCCAGCCGCAGATGAGCTTTGGCCTGTTCCAGGTCCTGGCCACGCTTGGCCTGCAGCGCTGCCCGTTGGTACTGCAGTTTGCGTGCCTCTAGCAGTGCCAGCTGCTCCCGCACTGAAGGGAGAGTGACACTGGTTAGAGCCATGCCTGGCCCTCACTAGAGGCTTCAGCCCTCTGTCCCTCTTCTCCCCAACTCACCAGAGGGACTCAATGACTCCTTAGAACTCGAGGCCTTGGGCTCAGGCAGGGGCCGGGAGGAAGATACCAGAGGCTTCTTAGATACTGGGGCCTGGGCTGGAGACTCATCCTGCAGGTGCCCAGGAGGATGTCACGGGATCTGTTCCCCACCTGGCTGAGGCAGCTCCCAGACTTGAACTCTCTTCCTAACACTGCACTAACTTGCTGTGTGAACTGAGATGAATGGCCTCACCTTGTGGGTCCTAGCGAACTTCAGAAGCTCTGAGCTAACCTTCCCAACAGCAGGGTACTGGGGACAGAACATGGGCTCTGGAGTCAGAAAGACCTTGATTTGAATCTAATCCTGATAACACCTATCGGGGTGTCCTTGGCCAAGCTTTTTCTCTGTAACATGGAAGAAAGAATAGCCACTTCGCTGGGCTTGTTAGTATGGACAACAGGGCTAGGTTTACCCTTCACCTGCCCCCCAACACCTGGAGTCTTGGGCCCTCAGCCAAACCTCATCCTCATCTTCCTCTGCTGGGGCTGCTTCCTCAGAGACCAGTTTCTGGGCAGCTGCTAAAGTAGCTGCCACTGCATCCTCCTCAGTGCCTGTGGTGGGCTCCAGACCAGGGATGGGGGGGAATCCTGTGGGGGGAGAGCTAAGTGAGGGGAAGGGTGGCCTCAGGGAAACACTGGGCTGCTGGGGGTCTTGGTTGGGTCTTCCTGGGCAGGGCTGGGGTGGCTGGTGGCTCCCACAGAGACAGCTACCTGAGGAATCATTCCCCCCCACCCCCACTCCGAGACTTCATATAAGGACCACGTGCTAACCGATTGCGCCACTGGAGCTCCCGAGACTTCATAATGACCCTCCGCCAAGCACCACTCACCTGGAGGAACAGGCAACTCAGCAAAATCAACTCTGTGTCCTGCTCGGTGTGCTCGAATGGCATCTTGATATTGCTAGAAGGGAAGGGAGAGAGCGGCCTATTATGGGCAGCAGTCTACAGGCTCCACACAGGGAGAGACGGAGAGGAAGACTGAAAGCAGCCCCAGGAGGAAAAAGAGACCCTGAGGCACCCAGAGCTTGAGATAGATGGAAACTCAACGACCAGGGCTAGTGCAGGGACAGCCAGCCAGAGAGCAGCCAGCCAGAGAGCGGCTGACACATGCAGGGGGTTTCATGGCTGCGGACCCACCTTGGCAATGCGCTCATGCATCCTGGCCTTTCGCTCATCCCCACTGCCCCGGGCCTGGATGCCTGCCTCTCGGTACTTATTCAGCCTCTGCTGCAGGGCGTCCAACACCGTCTGAGGCTCAGTATGGACCACTTGAGAGGAGGAAGGAAATAGCATCAGCTCTGCCTACCTCTCCCTAGGTCCCCACTCCATAGTCCCACCATCCCGCCCTACCTGGAGTTGCCGGGGTGTCAGGGGCCATCACTGGGTACACTTGCTCCACTCCTGGGGGTACAACTGCGGGTGCTGTGAGGGCCTTAGAAGCCTGTGGGAGGGGCTTCAGGTCTGGGGGACCCAAAGCAGAAGTGTAGGTGGGGGTGCCTAGACAGTCCCAGCCTGAGCAAGTTCCCTCTACCATCCCCATACTGACCCTCAGGTGCCGGGGGCATGGCACTCAGGTCCACAGGCTGCCCCTTCTCCAAGGCGTCCAGGACGGCACCAAATCTCTGCAGAGTAAGAAAAGCAGGTGCAGGTGTAGGCATAAGCCATGGAGTCCCCCAAAGCCTGGGGTAAAAAAACTCCCCCTCAGGCCAGTCTCACTCAAGCCGTCTAGCTGTGTGACCTTGAGCAGGCCACTACCCTCAACACATATGTCATACCTTCCCAATCCTCATGAGATCTCGGGCACGGTCGAGATCTCCAGCCCGCTTGGCATTCAGGGCAGCCACTTTGTACTCTCTCTGTCGGGCCAACAACAAGGCCCGTGGGTCTGGGTCTGGGTCTGAATCAGGCAGGGCAGAAATGCCAGGGCTGCCCAAGAGGCTTGTCTCAGGCTGGGAAGGGTTATCTATGGAGAAACAAAAAGCCCGAGAGGGAGCATCAGGGTCAAAGAGGAAGGTGTACGCCTTGGGTTCCCAGTGCCAACAGGAAAGCTGTGACTAATGGCAATGGTCAGTGTGAGGATGGGGAAGCAGACCATAGGCCCTGACCTGGGAACTAGAACAGGATTTGTGCATCTCCAGATACCTGGCAACATGGTGGCGGGAGCAGGGGGATCTGCTTTAGGGCTTCTGTTGGTTGTTTCCTGGGGGGCCAGGGACTTCTTGCCCAAGGCCACTGGAGGTGGGATCTCATCCTCATTGATCTTCCTGCCTTTCCTCACAGCAGCCAGCTGGGACTCTAGGGTCTAAGGGAGAGAACCAGAAACCCAGTTGGCCCTCTTGGACTGGGCCCTGCTTAAAGACAGGCCAGAGATCCTCCACCTCCACAAGGCCAGTGGGGAGGCCCCTGCTGCCCTCAGCCCCACTCCTCCCTAGCTGGGCCTAACCTACCTTTAGACCACGCTCACAGCGCCTGGTTTTGGCTGCTTCACCTGCCTCCTTGGCGCTGGCCACAGCCTCCCGGTAATTGTGGATCCGATCTTCCAGCAGAGCCTGTAGCCCCTGAGGCCCTCCAGCCTGTAGATACTCCAGTTCAGGGCCTGGCCACTCCAGGGCCAGCTAGGCCCTAGCTGCTCCCTCCCTGCACGGAAGCTGCCCCAGAAAAAGGAGCTCTTGGACTCAAGGAGAAGGACGAGCCTAAAAGCCTCAAGGAGAAGGCAAAGACTTACTGGAGAGGCCAGAGGCCATATGAGAGGCAAACACAGAGGCCCAGACAATCTGTGGATGGCTGTAGGGGGTGGTCTGAGAGAACAGAGAGGCCTTTGAGGCCAGCCAGGCACCAAAGAGTTTTTCGTGCTCAGTCACTGCTTAAGCAGCTGCACTGTTGGAGGAGGGCCCTGGAAAGGATTACTGCTGCCTTCCTATGCAAGCCACACTATATGCACGTTACATAGGGGCACGCTGGGGTATCAAAGGCACACGGGATCCCTTCACAACCTACCTGAACTGCTGGAGCTGAGGTTGTCAGAAGAGCTGTCTGCACTGGAGGTTCAATGTTCTTCTGTCCCTTCTCCTCAGAGCTACCCGGGATGGCTGTCTCATCGCCATCCAGGGATCCAGCTTCCTCATCTGCACCCAGGACCTCTTGCAGCTCAGTCTGGGGAGACACAAGTTCCAGAAGCTTGGGAGCCTCATGGCCATACCCATGATAGGACCTGAAAATAAAGAACCCTCTTTCCCGGCAGTACTTCCCAATGTCAGTCACTTCCTGAAAGTCTCCTTTCCCAAAACACTGCTTTAATCAGACTAAAGACAGCCTTGAAAACAGTGAAGACCACATATCTGAGAATCCCCAAGTATAAAGTGCAGACCAGGTATCAAAGAAAACTAGTCTCACACTGTATAGTCAGGAAACAGACCCAAGACAGGCCGGGCAGTCTCACAACATCAGAGCACACAGAGGGACAACCCCCAGGCCGCCTCTGCAGGTCTGACCAGAGCCCGCAGACACCAGCCTGGCAGACGCACCAGCAGGTCTGTATCCTCCTCCAGCCCTTCTTCCTCCTCCTCCTCCTCCTCCTCCTCATCCCGCATACAGTCCGCAGCCAACTTCTCGATGTGGGCCATGGGTAAGGCGGCTGGGGAAACACAGAGGGCCAGGGCCTCAGAAAAGGTCCATGAAGAGTAAAGGAGAGCCTTCAATGCACTGTACGTTTCTACACCCAGGTAGAAATCCTGCCCTTTCACAGTCAAAGTCCCACCTGGAAAACTCCTGCTCTTCCTTTATGATTCAGCTCAAAAGACCCTCAGAAGGGAAACATTCCTGGAACCTCTAAAAGGCAGCAAGCTGCTCCCTTCTCAGCATTTTTGCTATAGTTCTTCATAGACATATTCATCCTTCCCTCCTAACTACACCTTTCACCTATGTAAAGACTTTTAACATCCAGTTGAGCTTCGCAACAATTCTGAAAGATAGGTCATACATATTATCCCCACTTTATGAGTACATTGAGAACTACCAATATTGATTTTCCTAATATTGCAATCCTATTAAGTAGCAGAGCCACAATTCAAACCCAGGCTTGTCTAACCTCAGGGGTTTGGAATCAGAGAAAATGGAGAACCCTGAGCTGAGGATAGTGGTTCTCCTGCTATCCTCAGCTCAGGGGTACATGGGATTGCGGGGAGGTTCTCTCTGCGGGTTTCTGGTCAGAAGAGAGGAAAACTGAGATCCCCTGACCCTCCCAGACTTCAGGTCTCTGTCATCTTCCAGGCTAGGGAGGAAGAATTCACTTATTCATTCATTGGACATATTAATGCCCAATTCAGTTGGTGCAGAGCCCATACTTTATACCAGGCCCTGGCCAGGGCTAAGGATAGAGACCCGAGGCAGTCAGAGAATCAGACTGCTGATTGTCCACAATGAAGAAGGGGCAGTCCAGGGAAGGAGTGAGCGCCCCATCACACAGGTGTGTGAGAAGGGCAAGAGGGCCTCTTGGTGGGAGTGCTGCAGAAGGCACGTGGATATCAGAAGGACCAGGTGATTTGGCTAGATGCTACAGCTGTGAGGAAAGGGCCTCTTCACCATCTGCCTGAGCCCATCTGATCTCAGCACCAAAAACTTACCCTGTCCCTTGGGTGCTGGTTTCCTGCCTGTGGTCCCTGCTTCCCCAGTGAGGGCCAGCAGCTCAGCCTCCAGGTCTTCATCATCTTCAGTCTCCTCCATCCCCAGCAGCATGTCCTCAGGGCTGAACTCCACAAAGAGCCCCAGCTGAGAGCAGAGGTGGTTTCTTAGGAACCACACAATGGGGCAGAGGGTGTAGCCCAGAGCCAGTCTCCTTAAGGTCAGTGGCTCCTTCACTGTCTGAGCCCAATGTGCAGAAAGGGAAACTGAGGCCTACAATACTACTCTTTAGGACACTCCCTGGTAACTCTATAAAGAACCCAGTAAGACTATACCACCACCACTGTTACTCACAATGATAATAGCACTGTACTTACTTAGCACTCTACATGATTACCTTAGTTAATTCGCACAATCCTGTGGGGTAGGTCCTATTTTTTTTTAATTATAAGACACACATAACATGAAAATTATCATCTTAACCATTGTTAAGTGTACAGTTCAGTGGCATTAAGTACATCACACTGTTGTGCTACTATCACCATTCATTTCCAGAACTATTTTCATCTTGCAAAACAAACTCTGTACCCATTAAACACCAACTCCCCAGCCACATTCTACTTTCTGTCCCTATGAATCTGACTACTCTAAAGGTAGGTCCTATTTATATCTCCATGTTCAGATGATACTGAGACAACTTTGCTAAGTGGCAGAGCTAGAATTTAAAATAAGGTCATGTGACTTGACCCTTTATCCCAGCACCTCCCGTACCTGCCTCTTTTAAGACAATAAAAATGAACTAAGAAGTCTAAGTACTTGAGCCCAGAATAAATAAACAGGGAAGCTTAGAGAACAGACCCCCTAAGGCTACAAAGTTCTCCCAGTGGAGTGAGCCCTCAAGCCCTGGCATCCATGGCTGGCAGCAGAGTTGTGGCCCTGAGAAACTCATGAGAGTGCTGAGGCCCCATCAGCACACCCTAAACTTTGGTGGTTCCTGAATCCTCCAGATCACTCATATGCAGGTGGCCATGGCAGGAGGGTTCCTAGGCTGAAATACAGGAGAGCTCAGGCTCATCTCTGGGGCGTGCGTGCGTGCGTGCGTGCNAAACTTTGGTGGTTCCTGAATCCTCCAGATCACTCATATGCAGGTGGCCATGGCAGGAGGGTTCCTAGGCTGAAATACAGGAGAGCTCAGGCTCATCTCTGGCGCGTGCGTGCGTGCGTGTGTGTGTGTGTGTGTGTGTGTGTGTGGAAGGGGCCCGTCAGTGTCTCTAAGGGCTCTGCCAACTCCAGGAAGCACTGCTCCAAGTCTCTGGACTAATGCGGATATAATACAGGTGGCCCAGTTTGCCCACACTGTTTAGGAACCCCCACCCTGGCTCAGGGATGAAGAAAGCTATATACATACCTGCTTGGCAGCTGCCACACCCTGACCACTGGCCTGAGGGCCCTTCCGAGGTCTTGGCCCTGGCATCTTGGCAGCCTAGATACATGCAAGAGACTCAGACTGGAGCAGCCATACAAGTCCCTTCCCCAAAGGTGCTACCTTGGTAAGGTGTGGCTGGTAAACTCTCAATTCAGAGAAAATAGGCAATACTTAAGACCACAGGATGAAATATGAACATTGGAAGTATAGCACTGCAACATGGGAGATAGAAGGGATGAGAACCACCTGTTAATGAGCTTAAGTGGGGAGTGTGGACACAATAAAAAGTTACTGAACTGACAAATCTGGTTTAAACCCAAGAGGCTGAGTGGGGAGGAGCGTAGGAACACCAATTCAGGGGAGTAACTCTAGGCAAGGGGTGGGTGGGTACAAGGCGGGGTAGGATTCAGGAAGGCTCTAAAGCTGTGCTGTCAAATACAGTAGCCATATGTGGCTATTTACATTTAAATTCATTTAAATTAAAAATTCAGTTCCTCAGTTATTGGCTGCCATTGGCCAGCAAAAATACCGAACATTCTCATCACAAAAATTTCTGGACAGTTCTGCTCTAGAGAAACCTGACTAAGCATTGATTCAGAGATCTCACAATCACTCTTAGGACCTACTATGTGTCAGACCCTGTACTGTGCACTGGGAGAGCACGAATGAAACTGACGTGTTCTCAACCCTCAAAGAACATTTACATAGTGGAGATAGTCTCAAAAATGACAAAAACAATAGGAGCTGCTCCAGGTGCGGCCCCTTATTCAGCACCGAGAAAAGGCTTCTTGGAGAAAATGATGCCTGTGCTGAGTCATGTAGAAGTTGGGAAAAAGGATTCCAAACAGAGGGAACAACTTGATAATTCTGAGGTGAGAAAGAGTTTGACCTGCACAAGGAAACTGAAGACCTGGGATTACTGAGCATAAAGTGTGAGGCAGGAAATGGTACAAGGGAAGCTGAAGATGTGCGCAAGGGCCAATATAAAAACACCTTTAAACCTTAAAGGGATTTGGGCATTATCCTAAAGGCAATGGACGTGACAGGATCAGGTCGGCGATTCAGAAACATCCGTCTTCCTGCAGAAGGGAAGGAGGCAGCAAGGAGGGCGGAGGCTGCAAGCCGTCCCCCGTTGCAACGGTCCCGGCAAAAGGGGCGCGCTGCAGGGGCGTGGCGGTGGCGAGAACGGGTTGGAGCCGAGAGTTAGGGGCAAATCAACAGGGCTCCGAGGTTAACTGGACGTGGGCGCACGGGAGGGGGCGCTCAGGGTGACTTCAGGAGTCAGATTTCAGTGGCTTGGCTGAATGGCGGGCCGGGCACTGAGCGGGCTCAGGGAAATTCAGACGAGGTCAATCAGACACGCCAAGTATGCGGGGCGGAGGGCACCAGGATGGGGGCATCCGCGCTAGACCCTGGCCCGGGCTCAGCAAGAGAGGAGAACAGCCGAGTGCTCAGAAGAGGCGAAGCCGGGGGACCCCATTCCTCGCGGCAGGACGCCTCCCTGCCCCGCCCCAGCTGACTCGACCTCCCCCGCCGGGGAGCGGGTACGCGGCATACCTCGCGGCGAATCCGGAACAACCCGGCCTACTCTCGCCCGGCACCGCCCGGGACTCCCGTGGCCACCGGGCGGCCTCGGCAGCCGCGACCGGAAGCTCCCCCACGGAGACTGCTCGCGCCCTCACACGTGACTCCACGCCCCTGCGGCGCGCAATACGCATGCGCAAGGCGAAGAGGGTGTGGCGCCCCAACAGGTGACTCGGAGGGTGGAGTTCTGAGCGCGCTCGCGGCTCCGGGCTGGTTTTGAGGGCAGGAGGGCGGCTCCCGGGTGTCCAGCGGCTTGCGCAAACGCAGTAGGTGCGTCATCTGCCCTTGCCCAATTACAACCTCCCCGCCAGGTTACCTCCCTTAGTCCCAGGCTCCAGGGCGCGCGGTTGGCCTCACCTCCTCGCCCCGCCCCTCTTGGCGTGGGGGCGGGACTGGCGCAGACCCCCCCCCAAAGCGCAGGGAGGGACTTCTCAGCTGGACGCCTCCTTAGCCCGGGTCCTTTAGGCGACGCCTGGGAAATGGAGGGGCGGGGGTACCATAATTTTTAACCATTTCGTAGCCGAATGTACTGTTTCCAATCAGAAAGTGGGTTAAATATTTAAGATATGACAGGCAGTAGGTGCTCACTGCACCTGTTAATGAAGTAACTTCAGATAGTTGAAAACCAAGTTCTTACTCCCCTACCCTGCAGGGCAATGAAATGGGGGGTAGTAAGAGGCGTTAAAGAGAACCTTCCATCTAAAACAAACCTTGCAACTCACTCCTGCCTATCTCAACTTACAAATTATTCTTGTTTTGTAGTTAGCAAGTGGAAGAATCTGCCAGTTGCCTCGGACAAAAAGCTTTTCCATCTCCTACTGCTTTGGGGTGGTTGCCCAAAGAGACTGACCTTAGCACTGTAAAATTTAAGTTTCACTCCCATTTTTTTCTCATTAAATATAATGAAATATTTAATACATACCGAAAGATATACAATATTTCACGTTCTCAGGCTCCATGGTTCTCTAAGTTATCTCCGTGTCTACACTAGTCTCTAAAGCAATGCATGGTAGGTACGTAGTAGGCACTCAAAAAAATAGTTCCTATTACTGGTGTGAATTAACATGAGCAGTAACCACAAGTTTAAGAAAAAACAGCACATTAATACAGTTGAAGCCACCCATACACCCATCATGTTGCAAGCCTTTCCTAAAGAGCTACCTAATCCTGAGTTTATTCTTCTTGAGCATTTCTATGTATGTATATGCCTTAAATAATCCATCTTTTTGCAAGCTTTAACATTATCATTGACATCACTTCATATATTCTTCAGCCTCTTTGCTCAAGACTATTTGTAAGCTTCATCCACGTTGATACTTAAAATTTATCCTATTTTTCATTTCTGTATGGTATTTCATAGTATGAAAATTCACTTTTCCAATGGCTTGCCATTATAGTACTATGAACATTCTCTTTTTTAATGTTTTTAAAAAATATTTTTAAAATTTTTATTGATTTAAGAGACAGGAAGGGAAAGAGATAGGAACATCAATGATGACAGAGTCACTGATTGATTGCCTCCTGCACACCCCCTACTGGGGATCGAGCTGGCAACCAGGCATGCACCCTGACTGGGGAATCGAACCTGAGATCTTCTGGATCATAGGTCAATGCTCAACCACTGAGCCATGCCAGCCAGGCAGTACTGTGAACATTCTTGTATAAAACTCCTAAGATACACGTGTTTTTCTAGGGTATATACTTAGGAGTGGAATTGCTGAGTCATAGGATTTCTGCATTTTCCAGACTAAACACCAAATTATCTATAAAGTGTTTGCTCCAGTTTATACTCCCATCAGTGGGACATTTGGGTTCTAATTGTTCCATATCACCATTGAAAAGTTTTCTAATAGATGTGAAAGGGTTTTGACTTGCAGACCTCTTTTACTATGTTTCCAATTTGTTGGTCATTCCTGTTTCTTAGTTTGTGGATAATTTATTTACCCATTTTTCCTTTTTAAAAATTGTGTAATTCTTTTTAAAAATTTTTTGATTTCTGTAATTCTTTAAAATATTCTGATACTGATCCTCAGTCAATTATATTCAGTTATAAATATGTGTATATACAAAAATTGTGTATATACATACCTATGCCTTTTTTCTAAACTATAAGAATTAGTTTGATATTTCATCATGATTCTAAGAACATAGACATTCTCCTACACAATTTATCACTCACAAAGGTTAACATTTATATAATACTATTAACTATTTTGACTATAGTCCACAATGTATATAATTATTTGCATCTCATTTATTTATTTAGAATCCTCACCCGAGGATATTTTTTCCATTGCTTTTCAGAGAGAGTGGAAGGGAGAGAGAAAGAGAGAGGAACATCTATGTGAGAGAGACACATTGATTGGTTGCCTCCTGCACGCACCGACTGGGGCCAGGGATCGAGCCTGCAACTGAGTTATGTGCCCTTGGCCAGAATCGAACCCAGGACCCTTCAGTCTGAGGGCCGATGACCTAACCACTGAGCCAAGCCAGCTAGGGCTTATTTGCATCTCTTAAATACACAACCCAATCAAGATTCATAGTACAGTTAGCTTGAATTTCTCTATTTTCCTTAAATTTAGAATAGTTCTTCCATTTTGTTTTTGCCTTTTGTGATATTGACATTTTTGAAAAGGAACAGTTGCTTTGTGGAATATTTTCCCCTCAATTTTGATTTAGCCCATAATTTTCTCATCAATAGATTCAGGTCAAACATTTCTGGCAAGACTGTTATTACATGGGTGATGTGTGTTTCTCATAAGGAGGCTTTAGATGTCAGTTTGTCCCATTGTTGGTTTCCAAATAAATATTAGAATTAACTTGCAAAGTTATACAGAAAACCCTGCCAAGATTTTGATTGGAACTTATTTCTATTTAGAGATTAATTACATCTCTTTATTAGCTTTATTTCTAGGTACCTTATATTTTCTGTTCCATCTAAGTCTTTTTCATGTAAAAACTTGTTTTTATGATATATAGTATCTTTTAAAAATTTATATTTTCTAGCTATTTGTTGCTAGGGATTCTTTATCACTGATAGTCCAGCATTTCTTTTTTATAAACTAAGTTTGTTTTATTCACATTGTTCAAAAGTTAAAAGATACAGAATAACATACAGTGAAAGTCTTTTTCTAACTCCTGATCATAGCTATCCATTTCTTTCCCAGAGGCACCAAATATAACCAATTTCTTACATATTCTCCCCACACTTATATCAATATAAGTAATTATATGCAGATATTTATGTACATGGTATGTTACCATTAAGTAAATGGCAGGGCTACTAACAGAAATAAAAGAGAAACTAGATGGCGGTGTAGGTAACAGCTGCACCCGCTGCCTCCCATAACCACATCAAAATTACAACTAAAATACAGAACCACCATCACGCAGAACCTCTTGAAATCTGGCTGCACAGAAGCCCCACAACCAGGGAACTGAAGAAGCACGGAGACCGCTAGGAGGGGGCGCAGACGCGGGCGGATCGGGGCTGAATTCCGGAGATGTGGCTGCTGGCCCACACCCGGTGCCACAGGTTAAACCCAGGAGGACATCTCCTCAAGGGAGGTTTCCCGGAGGAGGGAGGGGGCCCAGCCCCACATCGGGCTCCCAACCCAGGGCTCCATGGCCAGGAAGAGAAATCCCCACAACTTCGGGCTCTGAAACCAGAGGGGACTGTCTCTGAGGGTCGCAGAGGCTGAGGGAGCCTCTTAAAGGGCCCGCGCATGGACTCACTTGGACGCGCACCCTCTGAGCCCAGCGCCGGGCAGCAGCTTAAAATGAGCCTGGGACACTCGGGGAGGAACTAAGCTGCTTGGAATCAGGGCGAGAGGTGGAGTCGCAGCTTTCTCCCAGACAGAAGAGCTGGCAGAGCCCACTGCTCCTTTGGCGAGCCCTCCCTGCACACAGCCGGCAGGCAGGCGCCATATTTGAATCGCCAGCACCTGACTTGCACCTTTGGCCCCGCCCATGATTCCCAGAGGCCCCGCCCCTCCCTACCTGCAAGCTCAGCCAGGCCATTTCCAGTGGCTTTTCTGTGCAAGTGGCCTCTCAAGCCTTAAGCTTAGGACTTTTCTAAAATCTCTCAAACAAGCAGCAGCGGGCCCCACATGGCTTGATAGTGGCCCCAGGCCTGGCACTAGCGGCAGCTGCACTGGCTCATAGCTTGGCCTCTCTTGGACAACACCAACCCCAGCACAAGTAGCAGCCAACTACAGTTTGCTGTGTAGCTCATGCTGGGTGGCCCTGGGCAAGGTACTTGCAGAGGCTGGCTCTGCACCTCCCAGGAGGCCCCAGAGACAGTGCACTTGGTGGTCAGACTTGACCACGCTGGATTACAGCCCTACCACATCCATGAGTGACACTCAAGGGGCACACTTGGTGAACACCAAAGCTCCACTGAAGTAAATCCTGCTCCATAGGGGTGTCTCCAGCACTGCAGCTTTTTGGCTGTAGTTGCAGCTGGTCCTCACAGCTGATTGGCCGGGGGGTCAATTCCTCCCAGTGACGACAACTGCAACCAAGGCTCAACTACAACAGGAGAGTGCACACAGCCCACACAGGGGAGCACCTGGAAGGCCTAGCTCAGTTGACTGGGGAAGCTGAGCCACTGGACCCTACAGGACACCTACTACACAAAGCCACTCTACCAATTCCAGGAGACATAGCAGCTCTACCTAAAACATAGAAACAAACACCAGGAAGCAGCCAAAATGTGGAGGCAAAGAAACATATCACAAAGGAAAAAACAGAAGAAATCTCTAGAAAAGGAACTAAATGAAATAGATCCAAGCAAGCTAACAGATATAGAGTTCAGAATTTGGTTTATGTGGATGTTTAAGCATATTATTAGGGAAATAACTGAGAAAATGATAACATAATAAAGTACCAATTTGAAATAAAGGCTACACAAACTGAAACGAAGAATAATTTACATGGAATCAACAGTAGAGTAGAGGATGCTGAGAATCAAATCAGCAATTTGGAACATGAAAAAACAAAAAACACCCAACCAGAAGAGCAAAAAGAAAAAAGAATCCACAAATATGAAGATAGTATAAGGAGTCTCTGGGACAACTTCAAGAGGCCCAACATTTGTATTATTGGGGTGCCAGAGGGGAAGAAAGAGACCAAGAAATTGAAAACCTATTTGAAAAAAAATTACAGAAAACTTGCCCTACCTGGGGAAAGAAACAGACTTACAAGTCCAGGAAGCACAGAGGGTCCCAAACAAGAGGAACCCAAAGAGGCCCACACCAAGACACATCATAATTAAAATGCCAAAGGTTAAAGACAAAGAGAGAATCTTAAAAGATGCAAGAGAAAAGCAATTAGTTACCTACAAGGGAGCACCCATACGACTGTCAGCTGATTTCTCAACAGAAACCTTGCAGGCCAGAAGGGAGTGGCAAGAAATATTCAAAGTGATGAAAAACATGGAACTACAACCAAGATTGCTCTACCCAGCAAAGCTATCATTTAGAATATAAGGTCAGATAAAGAGCTTCACAGATAAGAAAAAGCTAAAGGAGTTCATCACCACCAGACCAGCACTACAGGAAAAGGGTCTTCTTTAAGAAGCTAATGAACAAAAGAATCTGGCAAACTAAATAGACCCAGAGACATTGACGCATGCAATAGAGGATCATATTTCAGAGGAAAGAGGGAAGGGGGGTGGAGGGTGGGAAGAGATTAACCAAAGAAGTTATATGCATATATGCGTAACCCATGGATACAGTCAATAACGGGGTGAAGGCCTGTGGAGGGAGTGGGAGCGAAGTGGAGGGGGTCAGCTGGGGGGGGGAAATGGGACACCTGTAATACTCTCAACAATAAAGATAAAGAGAGAAAAAAAAAGTCAGAGGGAGGGCCTATTGGTTTTATAATCTGATGTTTGTGATGACTATAAATTTCTCAAACACTCTGGAAAAAGCAAATTATTTAACAGAAAATTCCAAACTACATGGTTGCCATTTCCCTTCAGTATAATTTGTCACAATTCCATTGCTTAGAAAAAGAAAATCAGACTCTTTAATAATAGCAGCTCACAGTCCTTTATTGTGAAGCTCTTCACTCTTCTTTCAGGGCATACAGCACATCACCCTGGCTGATGTTGAGCCGCACACGAAGGAGCAGGTCATTCCTGCTGGGCTCCACAAGGAGGAGGCGGCAGGAGCCCAGGTGAGAGCACACTGCCATGGTCTCTGACATGGTGGGGTATGGTAGTCCCTCCATCCTGCATAGTTCCACATGTTGCCGGTATACCTAGAAACAAAACGCAAATCCGAGGTCAGCTGCCAGAAAGGTTAAGAGAGGAAAGGTCGTCCTGGGTCTGTATATGATAATTTATTTCTTCTTTTAGGGAAATCAGACACTTCTTGGCCAGGATATTTAATACCCCGGAAGGCATCAAAAGTTGCTTCAATGGACACAAATGAAGGGCAAAATACAATATAAACTTCAGAATCAGAGGATAGCAGGTCTGAATCCTGGTTCAAGCAAATACCCAAACATGACACCTTGGGCAAGTTATCTCACTCTCTTGAGCTTCAGTTTTATCTATTGAATGTATTATAATATCTCTTGAGTTAATGGATATAATGTGTCAAGAACAGGAACTGTTATACAAACAGTCCTAGTATCCAGGGGCTGAGAGTTCCATAGCTGAGACTGTCATAATTCAAGTCAAATTTTGCTGTAAGGCATTTTCCTTAGCAGATACAGTGTACAGGTGGCAAGGCATGACCCTTGGAAAAGCACAGAGATAATACTGAATAAATAGAGGCAGAAGGGTAGCTGGAAACATAGATTCTGACCCTAAAGCCCCAAGTGGGTCAGGCAAGTCTATAGTGGTTTCTGAGCACTCTCTCTTTTAACTATAAGTCCCCCCACCCCCAACACCACATAAGCTGCATGAGGGCAATGACTTTGACTTGTTCATCTTTGAACCTCCCACTCCTAGGACAGTATCTGGCACATAGTAAACCTTCAATCTAACATGTAGAAAGCAGTTGCTAAAGGCCTCTTCTCATGCAACTCAATAAAATATCACATAAAAATAGGTGCTGGTTTGATATTCTTTAGCATTACCAGGTTGTCACAAAATAGAGACAAGCTGTTACACAGTGATAGAAATTCCCACATATTTTAAAGGCACCAGACCAAAATCTAGGATTTGAAAAAAAGGAGATTGATCACCTGTTGAAATGTTGCTTCCTCCAGTCCAGATCGACGGAACTCTGCAAGGATCGCTCTCAGGAAGCTCTGTTCCATGACGGAGGAATTTCTTAAAGAAAATGAAGACGTGAATTATCGGTAAGTGGCTGCACCAACACCGAGAGAAAAGCCAAATATGTAAAGCTTTTCTGCATCTTTAGAGACAGGAAAAAACTGGGGACTACTTCCTCCTATATTATTCAGTATAGGTTCCCTCTACCTTCCCAAAGTCCAAATGATATAATAAATGCCGCTTTGGAAGTAAGGGAACATAGCAGCTACATCTGGAAAGGTACCAGCACCCCCATTTCATAAGCTGAGTTTATCAATCAGCATGAGACAAGTAGCCTTCTTGTTCCCACAGCACTTTAGTAAACACCTACAGTGTAACTCAATTCGTGGAAATTCTCCTGTTATACTAGGTCTACATTCCTGATTATGCCTCTTAAGGACAGCGTCTTCAGTAAATGGAGGGAAACAAGCTTCCATGGCCTTCCCTGACTGTGGCCCTCCAATAGTTTTCCAAAGAAGGTTCAGGGTCAGGAAGCAGAAGTATCTTACTTGATGGCAGTGATGTATGACGATGAGAACATCTCATCTACTGCTTTCAGTAAGTGGGCTACTGTGACCAAGCCAGGGGAGTCAGGCTTCTGGCAGGAGAATTCACAGATCTCGGTGGCACGCCTACAAATGTCCAGGCAGCGTCGTGCATCTCCAGAGAGGGCTGCTACCTACAAGAGGGATCATTTTATTCCTTGAGGTCCCCATGCCATATCAGCCCAGGAGAAAAACCAACAAATTCCATGTTTGGGTAAAAAAAAAGAGAAAGGCGTTGTCGAGAATGGCCGTAAGCCTGAAGTTAAGTACTTAGTCCTCCTTGGGAACCTGGAGGAAGCCCAGATATAAATTATAACTGGCATGTGCTGCTTAACAATGGGGATACGCTGAGAAATGCATCATTAGGCAATTTCGTCACTATGCAAATATCAGAGTGCATATACACAAACATACATAGTACAGCCTTTTTATAAGTAGAAAGAATACACCTAAAATAACGATGAATAGTATAGTAAATACATAAACTAGTAACATAGTCCATTATCCTTATCAAGTATTGTGAGCTGTAGGTAATTGTATTTGCTACATGTTTATACAACTGGCAGCACAGTAGGTTTGTTTACAACAGTATCACCACAAACACGTGAGTAATCTGTTGTGCTATGACATATAATGCGTTGTGCTATGACATCACTAGGCAACAGGGATTTTCAGCTCCATTATAATGTTGTGGGTTCACCGTCGTACATGTTGTCCTTTGTTGACCAAAATGTCATCATGCAGCACATAACCTTTTGTTGTGCCTGGGACTCTTCCCTGATCCAAACCTTTGTCTTGGTTTTACAAATAACTCCTGTGGAAAATGCAGAAATTCTCAGCTTTATTTAATATTAGGGAAATGAAATCTATGAGACACCCATGCACCATGATCACATTGAAACATCTGAAAAGTACAAGGGTTCTCATTCCTTGCATGAAGAGAGAAGTGTGCTCCCAGAAGCAGCCAGCCAAAGCCAAGAGGCTAAGTAAGGTGGGTCCTATTTTCAAGGTAAGGCCACAGCCAAGCCTTCTTCACAGCATTTGTGTAAATCTTGGAGATTGCCTGGTCAGTGGCTAAACAACCAGAATCAAGAGGGAAGGAGGACACAAATCTGGGGGACTCAGAGAAGTCTGTGGTTAAGTGAGTCAGATCAACCCACACTGCCAGCGGCTCTAGTGTTGCTCCTTCCTTTCCACGTGCACACAGGTTGAGGGGCTCCTGGGCGCCCTTCACAGGCAATCCTATCCTCCCTCCTAAGCTGATTTAGGCCACTTGCAATTTAAATTTCACGGAGGGAATTCTTAGACTCACTGTGGCCTGCAAGGGTCTGTTTCTGTATCTCCAGTACTTGCCAACAATCCTGATCATTTGCCTGACAACCATCATAGGCAATAACATCCTGCCTGATGACATGCTGAAATGATTTCTTTGAAAAATTCATGCTACATTAAGTTTGAAAAAAGCAAGTTGTTTAGGCATATATATACACAACACAAAGACATTAAAGTCATTTCTGGGAAGTAGAATTACAGTTTTTTAAATGTTTTGTGTATATTTGTTTTCAGAATTCAAATATAAGACATTCAAAACAAAGTCATTATTCTAGTAACCCAAGACCAAAACATGAGCATCAGCTTATATATTTTTCTCTTTTTCTAATCTCCCACATCCAGTAGGTAAGGGTGTCCTGTGGATGTTTCTACCCTATCGCTTCTTTCCTCTGACCCCATTCCACTGCATTTGGGAAGAGTACCATGTTCATAGCACGTTTGTCTATTTAACTATTTTGCCCTTTTCATTATACAAAGTTGCCTGCTCCCTGAATCAATCTTCATATGTATATAAGCCCACCATAGTCATAGCCTCCTAATCTATTATACAATAAGAAGACTTCAGGAATTTTTCAGAACTTTGTTTCTACTTTTTATATTTGTTTTTACAGAACTTCCTCAATTTCTCTTCATCTCCAGAGTACCCAGCACAGGACCTCACACTGACAGATGCTCAGCAAAGAATTGTCGACTATTTTGCTGCCCTGAGGATGACTTACCTTCCTGGCTACCAGCTGGATGGCATCATCCTCAAAGGCCTTTAAACCTTTGAGTCGGGACACAAGGATCTGTTGCAGCTGCCCGTAAGTATAGGGCTGGAAGGACATCCTGGTGAGACCCTGGGGAGCCAAGATAACAGAGAAACAAGTTCATTGACTGCCCTCTCTGGTAGCCTTGGTGTAGTCACCCACCAGTCCCCAAACCCGATTTCCATGTAACAATTTGCAGATTTTGTGCTGGGACTTCCACTGCTTCCAGCTCTTTGTTACTGACAATGGCCAGTGGTAGTTGGGGCAGTAGTCCTCAACTACTTTTCATTTAGTTTAAAAGATCCTTTTATTCTACCAGAATAATTGAAAAGTAGATAGAAGCAGAGGTGCTCCAGTGAGAGCGAGGATCTTCAGCTCTATGATCTGTACAGGTATAGCTCCTGGCTTCACTCATGATGCTCATAAGTACCTGTGCTTCCAGCTCAACCACGGGCCCAACAAGGGCAGAGACTGTGTCCACCTTGCTCACTGCTATGCTCTAGGCATCTAACACTGCCTGGCAAGGGTAAGTGCTTAGATATATTATAAAAATAATTAAAACTCCAGGGCTCTGCCGTTTAAAAGTGTACAGGCAGCAGAATATCAAGATATGTTTGCAGCAAATCATGCAATGGTGACATATTTAACTCCAACTTAAAATGATATGAATTTTAGGAACCACGTTTCTTACTTTCCCCATTTATTTTAGTTTCCTGTGTATTCATTTTTGCAGAACTCCTTGGCCCAGCTTCTGGATCTGTAAGAACAGCTTGAGAATGGCCCTAGGACCTACCAGTCGGCTTGACACCCGGTTCATCATGATGCGCTCTGGCAGGTCCATGGTGTTGGCAATGGCCAGGACCACAAGCCGGGCATTCTTGTGAGTGGGCCAGTCAAAGAGATTGTACATTACATCTTGTTTCTGAGTCCACAGAAGGTCGAGCTGCCAGGGAATTGGAGAGAGAGGCAGGGTCAACCACAGAGACCTAGCCAGGGCCCAAAGTGAAGACCTGTTACCACTGCTTTAGTTGCATGCACTTCTCAGGTCATATCAGCAGAGTAGCAAGGAAGTCAATGGACACGTGCCTCATGCCACCAGAGAACAGGCTCAGATGAATGAAGGGGCCAGAATTTCCCTCCTGCCCAGTACTTCCTCTCAGAACATCTCAGTCAAGAACCACGCTGCTTCTTTTCCAGTCCTCCTGTGAGCATCTCCTTACCTCATCCACAAGCAGCACAGTGGTTTCCTGAGAGGACCCTTGGGTGCAAAATCGCTTTGCCAGCAGTTCCACTGCATGGTTAGCTGTTGCCTTCTGGCCTGTCATCTTCTGCATGGGGGGAAACAGGTATGGTAAACTGTAAGGGACTTACTTGCTGGGGTTTAAAGTTAAATCTGCAAAGAGAGGAAGCTATTTAGTCTGAGGACTTCGGGACCCTGTACTCTGCCTTCCACTCTAGTCTAACCTAAACCTGGAAGAAGAGAAGGCACCAAAAGCGAAGATGAAAGTCTGTGTGACTGAAATGCAAATGAGCCGCAGGCTAGTCCCAGAAGGCTCCAAAATCATTACTGCCTGACTCTATTTATAACTGGACATTATCTGTTACAAGATAACAGCTAATGAACCAGAGTGAGGTGCAAATCCTGGCCTACCTCTCACCCTTTTTTATAGTTTGCCATACTGCCTCTTATGTTTGAACGGTTTCACCATGTTACTAAGTACTGGCTTCCAGTAATTCATACTGAGCTTCTACACTTTAAGATCCTTGAGGGTAGGAATTCTACTTTCTTTGCCCTTGCTATCTCTACTCAAAGGGCAATGCCTGGCATGTTGAAAATATGTAATATGCACATAATTAAGTAAACCTTCTTCTTTTCATGTGCCACCAAGAAACTATATTTTCCAAAAAGCCCAAACTGCTTTGCTTACCTGCAAGATTTGCACGTAGACTTGGTGGGGCTCCGTCAGCTTCATGCCATTGACTTCAATGTATTGAAAGGGAGGAACATCATTGGCTTGGGCCGCCTGCTGGAGGCAGTGTATCACCTCATGCACAGTGGCAGTCTTTCCTGTCCCAGGTACCCCGGAGATATACATGCACCTAGGCAAGAAGGGAAGATGTGAGGGTTAGGTCTGTGCCAGCTGCCTCACACTATCACCAGTTAGTATTGTGCAAATATGTGCTGAAGGAAGGACTGAAAGTCCTGAAATGTGGAGGTGGGGGCAGTAAGGACCATCCTTGGAAGCTGCTCAGAGCAGGACCTGTTTCTACAGAATCATTCATTCTATAAGCAATGCTGTATACAAACTGCCTACCCAAAGAAGGCCAGTTTCATTTTTCTTTGAAAGACAGAATTTCTATTCTTACAGAATGACTTTGACAACAAAAGCTGCTTCAGAAGCTCTAATTAGGCTTCAATAACGATTTTGCCTGTTCTCCTGGCACTAGGGAAAGGCCATCTGGTTGGACTCTGACACCTGAGGGGGTATCCTAGCAGGAGCCTTCTCCCCCAACCATCCTACCTGGCTCAGCAAGACTCACCCTCCAGTATGGTCAAGGAGTTTGCTTTCCACAAAGTTGTAGATATCTTGGAATTCCTTTTCCCGACAGGGAAGAGAGTCAGGTACAGCAGAAACATGCAGACTAAATAAGGGAAAAGGAGGACTTTAGAAGCATTTCACCATCTACTCAATAATAAATGGAAAAGATTTATTTATGGTTTCTATGTAAAACCTTAGTCACAAACCCAAGGGAATATCTTCACTCTCAAATCTCTTCACGTAGCCGCATAATCCTTCTCCACCCAAATCACCAACTCAGTGGTGCTAACCAAGGGTACATACCACCTAGGAAGCTTCCCCCTAAATCACATGGCTGGACCTCATTTTACAAGAGATTCTGAGTCAGTTGATTTCTGGCAGGATGCAGGCTTGTGTATTTTGAAAAAGTTCCAACATAGTTCTAAAGGGTACAGTAACTGAGAAGCAGTGTCTTGACTAATCACCTCCATCCCTTAGACAATGATGGCAGTAGACTGGACGGTCACTCCTTCTAGAACCTGTCCGCATGAGCTGACCCAGACACTACTTGAGTGGTTTCTTATCTCTATGAGACTGATGAGCTACCCACTGCACTAATGAGGCACCTAGAGGTTTCTTATCTCTAAACACAAATGTTCATTTTACTCTCTATTTTATTCCTCTTTCATGTGAATGAAAGCAGAGGCCCGTTTCTTACTGTATGAAAGGGACCCAAGAGCAGTGTTACCTTAGCCGGGCCTCCTCTAGCACGCTGGACGGCCCCTGGGCTGCCAGGTTTCGGCTGGGGATCTGGGGAGTGGCATGATATGGCGTTCTATGCTTGGGCTGTATTAAAAAAAAAGAGAACATATTTCAGAAAAAATAAAACACAAAACAACAAAGCAAAACACCATTCAGGACACATCAGCAAATCTGATTCCTGATAACCTGCTAAAAAGAAGAGAGGTGGTGAAGAGAGGAGGTACTTTTATGTATAAAATACCATGACTCTCCCTCTCTCCTCACAGCACACATACACTTTGTTCATAGTCCAAACACGATTTCTTTTTTCCAGTTTACACACAGTATTAGGATTGGAAAACAGTGTCAATCTGGGGGAAGAATAAATGAAAGTATGAATTAAATACTATTTAAAAGTAAAATATTACTTTGAAAGAAAGAAATTATGAAAAATCCTAACTACTCTGCCCAAACATAGGGTAAAGTAGGAGGCATAAACTGGGTTTGATACACAGGACCCTCCCTCTAGATTTATTTGAAAATATGGTCAAACTCTAGCTCAGGACTTCCACGATACAGTACAGCATTTGGAGAAACCTCACCAGGTTTATCCACTCAAAACCCCAGGGTCATTGCTCACTCTAGGCTAAAGCCTTACTTATTCTCTTGTTTTCCTTGCTACTGGCTCACTAGCAGGCCGGCTACACCTTCAAGGTGTTTCCACAAAGCACTCCCTTCTGTGGGGACATTTCACCTATCCACCCTCTGCTTCCAGCAGGGCTATAGAGTGATAATCTCTCCACCTCTTCCTCAGGCAGACAGCACTTAGACCCTCGTTATGGTTTAACACCTATTAACTTTGGAGAAAACAGGAAAGGAGTAACAAAACTTTGCTCAGAAGGTGTAAGAAATTTGATGGACTTCTGACCTTTTTAATTATGCTAAAGATGCCCTCACACCCTATAACTCTTCTGGGTGGAACCCAGGAGTTGCAATCAAACCAGAAGTTAGTTGAGCTATTTGCATAATAAAGAATTCCAGGCAAGACTGCCTCCAGTCCAAAAGCAATCTATTGGGTTTCCTTCCCTAGAGGTGTTCCAAAGAACAATATCCTCCATGAAAAAAAGCTAACTGGCCAAAGATTCAGGTTCTAATGCTCTCTTTGAAGGTCACAATAACATTAACTAATGGCCTTGACAAGTCATGTGGTAATGAAGCAAATTTAATTTTGTGTAATCCAAACATGGGAATAATCTTTTAATAGCTTTCACCATTCTGCTCAAGTTCCACAGGAAGCAGAAGAGACATCCATTCCTCTCTTTCCATCACACAATTCATTACCAATACCTGAGTAGCTCTCCCTGTTTCTCAGGGGTATCAAGTGACACTGTTACCCAACAGTGACCTGGCCCTGAGCAGGCCTGCCTAGGGCCAACCTACTGTGTGGGTTCTTGACTTGGTGCAGGAAAAATTTCACAACACGAGTCCAGGTGACTAAGAGGGTACATTTATTAAAGCTGGGGACAGTAAAACAAGGAAGGGCTCAGCATAGAAGAAGCAACAGATGAGCCTAGGCTGGGCTGCCTTAACTCACTGGGACGTCAGAAAAAAGGGGTACTTAGGAAAGGTTCAGGGGGTTAGCCTGGGATGAGCTGCCACTGCCAATTGCTCCCTTGGTTGCCAAGTATCATGGGGTCCCTTAGAGTTTA